TGCCGGGAGGCGGCGGCCCCGGGAACTGCTCCTGCGGTTGCCGTAGAGGGGCACCGGAGCCCAGCCGCTGCCTTGGAAGGGGTGCTGCCAGCCGCCCGTAACGCCTGTTTGGAACGGCGACATCCTGGCAGCCTTCCGTCTAGGAAAAACGTAATTAACTTAGAATCTCCCTCCCCAAGCGCAAGTCAGCACAGTCCGTGCTCTGACAGTCTCTGACAGAACCCCCGCTGTCCTGCCCGAGCTCTACCGCTCGGCTAAGGAGACAGCCGGGACACCCAAGACTCCCCGCCCCGTGTAGGGGTTTCAGCAGGTCCATCCCCAGTCTGAGCGGGGCTGGATGGACATCCTGGCCATCACCGAGCTCGAGACAGGTGCCTACTGCAGCTCTGGTCACAAAACCTTCATTTTCATTTTCAAGTCCTTGAGCACTGGATATCCTAGAAAGGGTCAGACAGACCATAGGGCTAAGGTCACAAACAAAATTTCCAACCATAGACTTGGCTGGAAACTAGAATCGGCCACAACCATGCTCAAACCCAGTTACCATCCAAAAGCATTGTTTGGAATCTATCTGAACACGGTGACCGTGACGTTTTACAGTGAAACTCGCTGTCCCCCTGCAGAGCCATAGTACTCCGTGTCCATGGCTGCTGGGGAAGGCAGGGGTGGAAGAGGAGAAACCACAGCCCCCATCACTGACCGCCTAACTTCGCTTTGCTCAGGCTTTCCATGCTCTAAAATCCAATTAGGCAGAGCATTCAGTGACCACTAATCATGCTTCACAGACTTCTAGCCTGGAGAGAAGTGAAGAGCATCTTAACCCAGTGTCCAAGGCATACAAATCTGTTTCCTTACCACTATAGTACTTCCTTCCGTGTCAGATGCCTACTTGTTTGTCACAGAAGTTTCTCATTATCACTCCCAACATTTAAATAAAAATAAAATAAAATAGTCACAGGTTTAAAAAAAAAATAAAATAAAATTATATGGTGTTGGTAAGAGCTAAGGGAAAAGAAGCCTAACAATGTTCCATTAGGGTATATATAGTTCTGAAATAAATGCACAAATACTATGACAACTCCTGCTTCTCCTCTAGGAAAGCAAACAAATTATTTAAGTGTGGACCATGAACATATAATTTTTAAAGGTGCAGAAATCCAAGCAAATAGGCAGTGTATCAATCCAGCGGAATCATTTCAGTGACAGTTCTCACCTCTCCATTCATACAGAAAGAAACACACCTATGTAAATACAAAATGTGTTTTTTTTTTCCCTGCCAGATGCAACCCTCTTCAAATTCTCACTATTAAATAATTCTTGAGTTTCATGGCACATTTTGCTCACCTCACTAGTGCCTACAAAATTCTTCTGCCTCTGAATAACTGGTACTTGTATTGGATATAAACACAGATGCAACAATTTTGATCTGTTTTGGATCCAAACCAAGTGCCACTTTAGGACAAGGCTTCCCAGCGACAGCTGTTCTAAAACAGACCTCGCTAAAAATTCCTCTGTGCTTCATAGCTCAGACCACACATCTTGCATAGGTATCAAGGAAATTAAATTGGTAAAACTGTTCCTAGTGACTGTTTGTAAACAATCAGATAAACCCAGGCGTGCTGTTGAATCTCACACCCCTCAGCATCAAAAGCAGCAACGCAGCCCCAGCGTCAGTGCCTTTGCTGGAGGGTATCGTTACTGTCACAGACTGGATCAAGCCATTCACTGATGCTTTAAAAAAGTGTATCTCCTGTAGACTTCTTAGGCTGTATCATCTACACAAAAGGAATCAGGATGAAGTTGAGGAGGTTTTTGGCACTCAAAGTCCATTGAACTGACTGTTGGAAAACATCACGCGGAAACCACAGATTTAACCACAAAAATCCACAAGCATTACTTTCCTGTTTTGACTTTTGCCTCTGTCTCTGTTGCTATAGAAACAGATTGCGCTGCCAAAAATGGAAGGATGATAATCATCTGGGGAAAAAAAGGCAAAAAAAGAGGCTTGGGAATGTAGCTAAAAATAATTTTAAAAGCTCACCTGCAGCATTTTGGTAGGATAACCCTCTTTTATGATAGACAGCCAGAAGGTGTCAGCAGAAGTGGAAACAATGGCTTAGGTTTTGGGAGAAATCAGCTGCAAACAGCAGTTTGCCTCCACTGTCCCTCAGCTGGGCCGGGTGGAGCCCGGCTGCGAGGCTCCCGGCAGCCCCGGGAAGGTTCTGTGTGAGCGGAGCGCCCTCCGTGGCTCCGGTTCAGCCTTTCAGCTCTTCCACGCCGAGCCCAGCGTTCACACGGGGCGGGCTGGCTGCACTGAGCTTTCCCTTCTTACCAAACAGGCCTCTCTTTCAGCTTACTCTTTAAAAACATTAATAAAAAGGGGACTCCACCAGCTTCAGACATTTTAGTTTCAACATTGTTTTTACTCAGTATGATTACATGCATGCATAAAAATATTTTAGTATGGATGCCAGGCTCAGTTAACTGTTACATTACAGTTGAACTGTATTTTTAAATGTAGTTTCTTCTTTGACTTAGTGCAGAAGCAAATGCTCTCTAAAGTTCTTTCATAGCAGTGAAAGCATCTCTGCTGTTGCAGGTGATGCCCTCACAAGAAATGAGGGACAGACAGCTGGGTCCATAAAGTCTTTAGACATCCAGGCTTAGCCTCTGTGAGACCAACATTTAGTTGAGCTGTAAAAGCAGACTCTTAAACCCTCAAGGTGTAAGAACAGCTCTCCTAAGTTAAGGGATGTCAGATAGATAGGGCAGGACATCTGAATGAGACTCTTGCCTCTTTAAACTAAAAAGCTAGCACCTGGGGGAGGGGAAGAAAGGTTGTCAGAACGCCTCTTGGTTTCAGGGATGATGTTGGTATACCACTACTTATATTTAGGAGGGTTTTTTGAATATCTATAAAAAACAATAAGAACTTGTTTGAAAGTCCCAGGTGCTTCCACCCTGTCCACCCTTCCTGTGGTACTTACTTACTCTATTACTGTTTCTGCCGCTTCTGTAGTTGCAATTTTTTGTTCTTTGTTCATGAGGAAAATACTCCAGGTTGAAAAGCTCTGTAAGAGAGTGTATACTGGAGAATTAACCTGCCATATGTACTCTTTGTTCTGTGTACTTTATTGTTTATTCTGTCTTTCCCAGGGGCTGTATGAAAAAAAAACCAAACAACACATTAATACAATTTGAAAAAATCAAGGATGCATATTTTCAGGCAATGTACCAGCTTGGAGTAATGCATTATGATGGACTAGGCAATAAAGAAGACCCCTGTAACTAATCTAGATGTACCTTTTTCACTTTTCTTTTAATATTAGCTCATAATTGCTAAGGGCTTCTTTGTAAGCTTGATTATTTAAGTAAAAATATGATAATTTGTGTTTTAAAACCTAACTACTAAGGCTTTCACCATACTTTGTGTGGAAGCTATGTTTACAAAGTGCTATCAATTAATTAGTAATAATCAGTGTATATAAATGAAAATGTGTAAAAACAGAAATAAAACAACTATATTTTGTATAAAACATCTGTTGCACAAAGATATTTGATAAGGTACTTTCTATTCTTTTAACATGGATGCTGAAGAAGAACATGCTGCTGCCAGTCAAAGGAAAAACTGCATTTGCAAGAACCTGAAGAATTACATTACAAAAAAAGGAAGACGAAGGAAGAAAATTGCTACAATAAGAAGAACAGTGCTAATTTATTGGAGAACATGATCTTAAAGAGTGGCATGAGAAAAGAATATAGATAGTGAAAGAAAGGGGAGATAAGACAGGAGGGCAGGAAAATGAATCAGTGTATTAATAAATCAGATTCTTGGCTGGTGCTTAGAGCAGAAGATATTCTGCTGGTCCTTAGAGGTGCTTCATTTGTTTTTATGCCTGTATAATAACCACGTTGATTTGGTCACAAATAAGCATTTTAGTGAAGTTTCTTTTTTGTGTATTGCAGTATGAGAGGTGAAAAAAAGAGGAACCTTTTATAAAGAACTGTTTCTAGTGTATTTAAACAGGGCATCCATGCCAAACCCTGTGTAAAACTTGTTTCCAAAATACTTCTGAAGCTCTTGGGTGATACACCTTACAGCTGCTTGTATACAACTGTCAGCATTGGCGTATTTAACATTATCTTTTTTTATTCTCACTATGAATCTAAGGTACTTTTTATGGAGGAGCTTCAGAGTGTGCTATTTTATCACTTTCCCTTCTGTTAAGGTGGTTTTGTGACCTGAGATATATAATACAACATGAAAAAAAGATTACAAAAGTCTAAAATTGAAAATGTCGCAAGTTTAGGATGTGATATTCATTAATGTAAGCACAAGACTATTTTTAAGAAAATTTGTATCAATGAAGAAGAGTAACACAATATCAGATGAACATTCATATGGAACTGTTTCACATTGTAAACAGGCTGGAATAAAAAATCTAGGGGCTGTCTAGTAACCAAAGATCAGTTCTGCCTTGCTGTGACACTGTTCTCCAGACTGCCCTATCATTATGCCTCAGCCTTTCTTCAAAGTGGAAAAATTTCCTCTCTTACAGAAGTTGGTGGATTCTCAGGTTCTTTATTTCATCCTCTTCCCCATCTGAATGCAAGAATTAACATACCTCAATTTTAGCAAAAGGGAGTGGAACACATGAAGAAAATACTCAACTGATTCCCTAAAAGCAAGACACTTGAAGTTTGCAGCTGCACACTTCAGCAGAACGCATTAGGAAGGACGTGGTGTTAAGCAGCCAGCTGAGGAGGCTGAAAGGTAATGGCAGTCAGTAATTTTCTCGATGAGCATAAGATGCTGCATTACTTAAACTTTCCTTATTTCCATTTTTCTTCCCATTTTCTGAGGTTGTGGCTTACTGCTGCAGACCATGGGAACCCAAAAGTAAGTGTGAAGGCCCAGAGTACTTTGGGAATGCTTTATTCTGTGTCAGATCTAAAAGATCTGTACTTGTACCTCTTGAGCTTCATGAGTCTCAATTTTTAATTTCACAGAAAGAGTACAGTGACATATTTGACTCTTGCAAGCTGTCTTTTACGTACTGCTGGGCACTGGCATCCATTTAAGCCCGTATGGATAGATAGCCACAATCCCTCATTTTGACTCAACACTACTAGTGGAGATTTTTTGTTTTTTTATTGGGAGTTTCAGGGAGAAGTTTTGTCAGCCTTAATACCCTTCAGAATTTAAGGAGCTGTCAAGAGTTTTGACAGTAAATTAAACAGATTTAAAAACCTAACAAGAATTCTGCTTTCTTTTATGTACAAGCACTTCTTAGAGGCTGGTTAAAGTAAATGCTTTTATGGCAACAGTATGCAAGAAAAGATGCTGAAGTGAACATATACTCTAACTTTCTGCCTCTTGTTTAGGCCTTTTCCTGGCATTCAGAAGCATGTGGCAATGGGAACTTGGAATTACAGGGAGCACTTGGTGTTATGTATCTCTATGAGCAAGGTATGTATCAAAACACTAAGGCTGCTTTGGACTGTTCGAGAAGCAGCAGCACATTTAAACATCTATGCCCAAAGCCATCTTGTGGAATATTATTAAAATAGAAAATTTGACTCAACAGCTGCTGCAGTAGCCAAAAGGTGAAGTTAATTTCACTTTATCTTTTATTATGGTTCTTCATGTAAGACCATGGAACTCAGATTAAAATTATTAAGTTCATGTTCTTGTCTCACAAACTCAAGAGATGTTTGAGCTAACAAATTGCAAGACCTCATCTGCGAAGAGGGAACAGCAAGCCATAGGCAAAATTAATACTGTAAGGTCCTCTGTTATTCAGTACAGTTCAACTTTTCCTTCTGACTCTGTGAGGCAAGACAGCCTTGAACTAGAATCCCAAGCAGACCAAGTAGAAGCCCACACTCAACCCTGCCTTCCTGTCCCGTCAGTCCGTAATCTGCTCTAGGCTCCTGCGTTCACTGTTCCCTTTTAAACCCCTACAGGTCTTCTGTTCTCCACATGCCTCAGTGTCATTTCTACCCACTGTCTTCTCCCATCATCTCCTTGCTCAGTGTTCTCTTGCCCAGTTTCTGTGTCCTTTACCCAAAATGCAAGCATCTATACTGGCTGGGATCCTCCAGCAAGCACTCTGGGCAGCACAGCCTGGGACCTAGGAGTAGCTGCTGCAGACAGTGCCAAGTTCTCACCCTTCAGCTTTTCAGCTTACAGGGGCACACACCATGGAGGCATTTTTCACCTGGACCACAAAATAGGCTTCCCCACTGCTATGGTATGTTCTTGAAGTCAGCTGTCCTGAACCAGAATTTTGCTGACTTGACTGGGTATCATTGCCTACATCAGCATCCTCTTGCATATCTTACAGAAAGGAAGGCAAAAATGTCTTCCTATATCAGGAAGAATAGGTTATTGTTATTATATTTGAATGTTCCTGCTAGTAAGTCTTTGGGATTTTTTTCTGCTGTGTTATTGTATTTGTTAATGGGACCAAATTATGTAGAAGAATATTGTTCTCAACACATTTGGGTGAGGCATTGACTTGCAGAGGGTTAGTTCAAAATAATCTTATGTAAACACTGATTTATAGGGAGTAGCTATGAAGTGAAATGACTTCCACTTTTCTTTTTTTCTGTCAAATTTGTGACTACTTGTCACAACAACAAAAAATTGCAATGATGTGTGAAGAACACATCATTATTGTTTGGTATCTGGAAAGTATATGGGGCCTGGAGGTTTATGCTTTAAAGCAGCAGAGGAAAAAAAAAATCCCACTTAGAAAATGTTGTACCTAGTATTATAGTAACAATACTAGGTAATTATAGCCTTATAGTTAAAACAATGTTCAGTTTGTCCCTCCAGTCCTTATTAAAATCAACATGCTGAAAATAAGGTGACAGCAAGCAGACAGATGCATGCAGAAGACAGAAAAAAATTGAGCTGGAACAGTTATAAGTGGTTGTCCTAAGTGAGTCTTACAACCTGAGGCTCTCAAGTATGTCCAAGATCTTCAGACTGCTATGATTTGCCAATGTCCTGGTAAGAACCTGGAATTAGAACCGTGGAAAGTTTTAGGTGGGCCCTTTAAATAGCATCTAGTTCCAACCCCCCTGCTTTGTGCAGGGACATCTTCCACTAGATGAGGTTAATTATATCAAGCAAGAGCTCTGCCTTTCTTCCACATATATGTTAATTTCCACAAAATATTTTATTAGAAACAATTAACATAAAATATGCTGCCTTTTATAACGAGCGTAACTATAGTGAAAGTGACTCCAAAAGTTATGTATATGTGTTTTCTATTTAATTATATTCAAATTAAAATAACTTCAAATTAAATACTGAATAGAAGAATCCTCATCGGGCTGCTGAATACATACAAATTCCAGTTTATTTTGGATAAGGATGTATAGGAAGAGGAGGCATTGTTAAGTCATATATAGACAGCTGGCTTAAATTACTGCTTGAAATAGCATTATCTAACCTAATGCTGTGAATTCCACCACAGGATTACAGAAAATGATGACATCAATATGCTGGCAAAGGCAAGTGATTGTGCTCACGCATACGTAGCCAAGGGCACCACTACGGCTGCTTTCTACTTGGCTAGATGCCTCCTGCTGGGACTTGGTGTACAGCAAGATCAAGCTGCTGCTAAAAAATACTATTCTCAGGTAAGCTGAGAAAGTCTCATGAAACCAAGTGATACCTTGGATTTGGGTCTTTAAACTTGCTGTTTGGTAAAAGACTCACAACATCATATATGAAAAAAAAATAAAACTGTGCACAAAAATGAAGAGTATATTGAGAATGGTTAAAAATTGTCTTGAAAGGATACTATCAACCCACTTGCTTTAGCAAACAATGCATTCTGCCAAATAACTAAAAATAATCTGTGGTAATCACCACAGCAGAGGACTCTGTAACTTGCAAGATAAATTAAACAATTTGAATAATTTTATCCGAAATTAATTTACTGTCTGTCACTCTCTCAAACTCCAAAATCATAACTTTTCCTCTACTTTAGATTCTCTAACAATGACAACCTTCATTAATGATACTGAAAACCAGTCATAACCAGTTATCCTGCTTATTTTTATGTTTGCATTTTTAGCCACAGCCAAGGATCCACTTTTACTGATACACAGGAAAAAAAAAAACAGGTCACATTTTTTTTAAAGTTTTGAAGTTGAAGATTTATTGCTTGAGGAAAAAGATCAATAATGGCTTCTAGAAGATCAATCTGCTAAATAATATCAGTGATGCCTAAGGATAGAGTCAAGGCAAGATATGCCAACTGAAGGGAACGTACCAGCATTTGGATCCGTGCTTCAGAGACACACTATCATTTCTGTGCATGTAGAGACCTTTTGTTTCTGCAAGCAGAAAGCTTTGATGTCCAGCTTGGTGCAATCCAAATAAATGGAGAGTCAAGTAAATTATAAATGATCAGCTAACAATTTTTGTGGCTCCTTACTCAGGGAAGCCACTGACACAAGAAGCCTTATTAACTCTTTAATATTTTAACAAGCTGATTATCTCAGATAATGTCAACAAAACTTAATGACCTTATTAATGATATATAGGCAACGCACAGTTTTATTTTAGCTATAAACTAGAACAGCCTATTCTTTGTCTTCAAAGGCATGCATCCTGGATCCTGGTGTTGCTTCTGACCTTGAACTGGCAGCTAATCTTGGGAGAATTTACTGTTTCCTTTAACTGTGACTTGTATATAGATGTATTTCCTACAATAAACTATCTTTAATCCATAGCAATTACTGATCACTTACTGCTGCTTTTCAACTTTACATAAATTATTACTTAAAGAATCACCAAGTTGCTTTATGTACAAAAAAAAAAAAAGCAAAAAGCACTCACACACTTTCTTCAGCTGAGAAGAAGCAAAAGGTAGACTTTCCAAAATTGTATTGAAGACTGCATGTTTATTAAGGACATTTTAATGGGACAAATGTCCTGCATTTTCTTCATGCCATACTACGATGTAGCACATGAATCAAACTGAAACTAAATAAAAATGGCTGTTTCCTTTTCTGTGTTTTTAGTATTTAAACATCACATTTTAATATTCTGAAAAGCTTGAACCCAAACTTGTCGTGTTTTCACATACAACCCATTCACAAGTCACAATTCTTTTTAAATCTTACCTTTGTTAGTGGTGTGTATACTGCCTTTCACATGCTTCGCTAGTGCATTTAGATCCACTTATATGTCAAGACATTTTAACTCCTGGACTGCAGAGATTCAAAGTTGGAAATTGGCCAGTATGGCACTAAACTTTACAGTTCAAATCCTGTAAACATTTAAAACTAGAAGATACTACTTACAAAACTACAAGGGAAAAAAAAGCCACAAAATGTTACTACAGAGACGTTCCATACACATGTTCTCTGCATGAGGCTTGTCCTCATCAACCTGACTGCCCAGCTAGCTCTCTTGGAAGAGTGTGAGACTCCTACTCCCAGGGGCATGGGTTTGAGCCCAAATGAACAACAGAGGCTAATTATCTGTCAAGGATTAGGGCTGGACCAGCCACTAGATGAATGACAAGATGCTCTGTACTAACCCCTCTCCATTCCCAAGGGCAAAGAGAAAGGGAATAAGGAAGAGAGACTTAGGAATGGGCAACAGAAACCTAAACAGCTTTAATGAATAATGAAATATATAAAAAACCAACACTGAACCCTATTGCGTTTACATTGTATAAGAAACAGTTGAAAACCTCTTGGTTTGTAGTGTGTGTGCCTGAGTAGTTTTATACCAGATCTTTCATCAGGTGATACTTCAATGAATCACAAGTAAATTTTACTGATGACTATGGTAAGCTTGCATGTTTCTAAATACCTATTTACTTGTAAAACTTCATATGTGCAGAATCTCCTTAATTAAGCTTTTTTCAGTGATGACCTGTGATAGGTCAAGGGGTAATGGGTGAAATTGGAGCATAGGAGGTTCAAGGTGAATATCAGGAAAAATTTTTTTTACTGTGAGGGGGACAGAGCACTGGAACAGGCTGCCCAGAGAGGTTGTGGAGGCTCCTTCACTGGAGTCATTCAAAACCCGCCTGGACGCCTTCCTGTGTGATGTACTCTAGGTGGTCCTGCTCTGGCAGGGGGGTTGGACTAGATGATCTTTCAAGGTCCCTTCCAACCCCTATGATTCTATGATTCTATGATCTGGCTTGCTTCTTAGGACTCTACTGCGACTTGAAAACTTTTTGGGACCTGTTGGAACAGAAGGGTGGGTGTTACTAAAAACACTGATATATGTGGACTATATCCACTCTAGTTACCTGACAATGTAGTTGGTCTTAACTGCGAGCAGTTTTTTTAAGAGCACAACTCTATTGAATTTAAAAGAAAGTAATGAGTGTCATCTAGGGATTTTTTCATGATGTTTAATTATTTAGATGTGCATGAAGACTATATTTACATATTTTTACATAAATTAAAAAAAAAACACTGAAGACATCATTTTCTTTCCTTGTATAAAATAAGGGAAAGATTTGAAGGTTGTTTGAAATTGGGGTATTTGAATAAAACAGCCCTGAGTAATATCAGGGAAGTTATTAGAATGGTTTAATTAAATGTCTGCTTAATCATTTATAGAAGCAATTCATAAGCACTCACCTCTGAACTAACATTTAACACAGGCATTCTGTCAGGACAAACCAGTATACAATACATATTTTCAACACAGACTTCAGAGTAATGTAAATATTCCTTAGGAAACTAGTGCTGTCAAACTTATTCATCAGTTGTCAGTACAGCCTCATTATCAAGTACTGCAATCCTGTTGTGTTATTTATTGCTTACAAATGCTTCAAACTACGGGAAATCTTTGGTAAAAACAAAACTGATAAAATTTTCACAATAGCTTTACATGTAGTATTGCACAACAAGGCTTCTTCCATACACAAGAAAAAAGGACTGGTCAGATCCTCTGTGAGGAGATTAGGACTGTACAACATTCATTAGTTTACCACTATAAGCAAAATTTCTTTTCATAAATGTTTAAAATATTTTCTGGTTTCTTTCAGCTTATATGAACATTTATTTTTCAATCTATATTTGAAACAGAAGAGTAGTCAAATAGAACAATTTAAATAAAAATTGGCAACTATACAGCATTGTTTTGTCTACCCTAATACAGCATCAGATCTTTTCAAGTCTGTTTACTTCACAAAAAAACTCAAGAGGAAAGAAAAACGCTAAAAATAATCATAGTCCTCAGCCCTCTATGGAAAAGAGGAAAATAAGTTTCATGTCTATTATTGGACATAGACATTTCTCTAGTGGTCCAATTGTGCAGATTCAAACCTAAGTGGCATTAAGCTGCTCTAAATGAGCTCTTAGCTCAGGACACAGTTCAGTTAGCAGCAGTTCCAGCAAAACCTGAAAAACAGAACAGAGTTAAGATGAGTACAGGTGCCAAATGGGAATTTCTTCTTCCTTTCTGTCATGTTTGGAGCGTCACAGACAACAGAAGCACATAGGGTCACTCTACTCATCATTCATTTTTCTTTTACCCTAAAGCTAGCATGTGCCCTACAAATAATATGGGAAATGTCTTAATGCTGAAAGAGAACAAGTGCCACAGGCAGCTGCTTTCAGACAGGGATTTCCCACCCAGTATAGACTGGTGCTATTCTGTGGAAGCCATGGGAGCTACATAAGCAAGCTCCAGAGCACACACCTCCTCCTGGGCACGCTGCTCTCCACGGCTGGCTGCTGCAAGAAGAGAGCCCGAAGAGACTGATGGAGAGTGACAGTACTGTACTTGGATCCAGCTCCATGCTCTGACCAGTCCCAAACAACAGGAGGGACTTCTCGAGGGCAGTCATGACCTAACTGTGAGCCAGTCCTCGAGCTCTCCTTCCCTAGGATTCCCCAAAGTATGGGCAATTTTTCTTTTTTTTTCCTCAGCTATATAAAAGAATGAGTCTGCCCCTTATGAAGTCAGGCAAGTTGGTTGTGGTAGAAGACCTATTTTAGACAGAAGCAATGCTGGTTTTAATCAGTTTTTTGTTATTCAAAATTAGTCAAATGATGGAACCACATACACTTTTTCTGACTTATTTTAATTAATAAAAAAAAAAAACACCTGCACAAGGGAGCAATAGTCCAATATAAATCTGCATAAAAACACACACTCCAGACTTTAATACCAGGTGAGCAGAGCTCAGCAGTTAATGGGATGGTAAAGTAACAAGGCTACTTTTCTGGTTACTCACATAGAGTAGATGCTTGTTAGCCTTTCTCTCTTGCAATGCATTGAACACTTTCACTACACCGTGACGGGCGTTTTGTTGTCCAACAAGACTCTGCAGAGTATCTGCAATAAAGGTTACTTCAGCTTACATCAGTTCACTCAAATAAAAGCACAAACTGTTCAAGGCTATTATAGGCAAGAAGGTGAGCATACAACAGAGAGAGTACATGGAGGGTTCTTTACACATCAAATGGTGAGCGCTCAAGACCAGACTGGGTGGGGCCTTGAGCAACCTGGTCTAGTAGGAGACATCCCTGCCCATGGCAGGAGCGTTGGAACTAGATGATCTTTGGGTCCCTTCCAACCCAAACCATTCTATGATTCTATTTTGCATGCATGCCTGCTGCTATTTTTGTTGTAAGAGTTGACTAGACAACCAAGTGCAAGGAGATACATGACCTATCTCCATGAAGCCATAAAACATCTCATTTAAGTACTTTCTATTGAGATGGAAGGGGGATAAAAAGCATGAAGCTATGTTTAAGTGCATTTCCAAGGGCTAAAGGGAATGAATTTCAGTTCTCAGGTAAGTAGGTTCTTTTGGGTTTATGTGATCTGTGAAGGGACACAATTATATAACCAGACTCCCCATCTTGTAAATGGGATGGGACAGAGGACCTCAGAACGGTGCCCTAGAAACATGCAGGCTGAAGAGGAAGCTGCCTGGGCTGGGGACATAAGGGCAGGCAAAGGAAAGTACTAGAAACCCCACTCAATCTCAGATGCTTCTGTCCAGGCTGCAGGTCCCTCTAACATTCAATGCCCTGAAACTTCATGTCAGAAATACACAGCAACACACAACACTGACAGCGTAGGTAGACTCCCTCTTCCATTTTGGAATGGAAGAGGAAGAAGTAATTGCGGTGGTGCCACACTCCCTATTTGTCAAGTACTTCCAAGTACCACCTAGTATTTGCTCATGGAGAGCCAGCAAAGAGTCTTGACTTAGGTTCCCTGATGAATATAACATACAGAAGTACAGAGACACTGGATTTTCATCCTCCAATAATACCAGCATCCATGCCCTTTACCAGGCAGATAGGAGACACAAAATTATCCTTACTTAAGCAAATAACCATAACTTACAACTCTACGTGAAAAATCTAAAATGCAGCACAAGAGTATTTGACTAACCAGTTTCCTTCCTAGTTATTAAATCCATGATAAAGCAGAATGAAAGTGATCTCACCTGGAATGTTTTCAAGTAGTTTTTGCTGTGCTCGCTGTTTTGTTTCTTGCTTTTGTTCATCGCTCTTGGCTCTTGGTGGCGGTGCTAACTTTCCATTTGGCCAGAAAGCATCTCGAAACACACCGATGTAGTAAACAAGCATTGGTTCACTGAACATCCAGTGTACAGTGTCACGAATTTGCCTGTAAAGGAGTGCAGAAGGGAGAACATCAGAGCTGGTCTTTTGTGTTTTATGCAGAAT